ATGTTAAATCTGATACCATGAGCAGCTATTTAAAAGATAGCAAGACATAGTCTTTCTGGATTTACTATTGTCTTGTTTTGAAGTCCTTTATTGCATTCATTGTTTTTATTGTTTCTATTCTATCCTGTTCTGTTTAATTTCTACTATGTCTGAAGGCATCTGCAGCTATTTTGAAGACAACAAAAGGCAACTATTGTTGATTTCATAAGGTTTTGAAGTCCTATATCAGTTATATTGGTTTATTTTTATTGGTTTTCTTCTGTTTTATTTTCTTTGGTTTATTTTTAAAATAAAAAAATTTTTAAGAAAAGCAGAGGAAATGATTGAATAATAGAGAACTTTGATGTTAGCTCCTTTGAAATCACTTCGGACACCATTTTTGCTGGCACCTACCTCTGACCATCCTGCCAGTCCAGATCCTGGTTTGCATCTAATCAGGGGTGAACAGGAGGCATTAGGTTCCACTGTTTAGGGTAAAGGTCTAGGTGCTAAAGCAGAATTTGTTGGCTCACACTGTTCCAAGTAATTAGATTTTTTTTTTAATAAAAATCTTCTTGTTTTAAAAAATCTGCATAAAGAATATGAAAACACAGAAGCACATTAAAAAATAAAGAGCACACATGGAATTAGTTAGGATTAGGTTTGGTTGCAATCCGTAACATCCAATTTCTGCTGTCAAAGACGCTGACATCCTTGTGGAAGGGTCTGCATTGCCAGCAAAGGTTGAAACCACATGGAAGGAAGTCAGCCTTGGAAAGACAGAGACAGAGGGAGAGTTGGGGCTGGCAGTGGACTGACACTAAGACTGCTTCCAATGGGGAGACCAGAGAAGATTCCACGGTAAAGTGAGTTTCAGCATCTTAAAAAGTGAGCAGGGTTTAGACACAGAAAGGCTTAGTCTGGGATGACAATTGATGTAAGCAATGAGGGTCTTCACGTCTCTCGTTTTCCATCTGTAAAACAAGAATCAGGCTGTCTTTCTCCCTTTGAATCCACCATGGGAAACCCCAGAAAGAGAGCCAGGGTATTGTAGTGAACAACGTGGCCTGGAAACGGGGGTTGCTGACCTGTGATTGAATGTAGCTGGGTAGAATACGCATGTCACATTTCTTCTCAAGGCCACAAGGTTCTCATCTGGAAAATGAAAGGCTTTGCAGATAGGATATGTTAAATGCATCCTCTGACTCAAACATTACTGTGTGATCCTACAAGGGCTTTGGGGGCTGGTTTCTGCCAGTGACAAATGAATAGGCTTCCTGCTCACAGGAACCCTTTAGGGAATGGCCTCGTGACCATGGTGGGTGTCAGGGCCAGAAGACCTGGGCACCTATCTGGACTTTCCTATCCCTATCCATTGCCTGGAGATTTGAGTCTCCATCACAGCGCTCCCTAAGGACACTCTCCAGTCTCATTCACATCCCTCTCCACCTCAATAGCACACACCAAGGAGGAAAAAAAGAAGGGAACTAAGGAGGGGAAGGGAGGTGGAGAGAGAAGGAGATAAGAGAGACTGAGGGCCAGGGGACCACCCCTGTACCCAAATAGCCTGAATCCAAGGTTCCTGCTGCGAACTGTGAGACCAAGGGAAGTCTCATCTCCTTTGTGCTTACCCATCCCTGTCTCCTCTCCTAAATTAAATACTCCATTTCTGAGATTCATCTTCATTCAAAAGAAAGAAAGGCCTTTGGTCTTTTAAGGGTACTTTTTCCTGAAGCTCTTCTGTGCCTCCGCTTCCTCTGTAGTTCTGGGGAGACCACGGGGGAGAAAGGGACCTGAAAGGAATGTGACAAACTTTCTACAGTGCAGCTCAGGTAAGGGTTCAGATGGGGAGGAGCATCCCAGAGCTGTCCCAGAAGCCTTGTCAAACCACATGCATTTTCTGGCTTCAAAGCTAGAAACAGAAAAGTTAGAAAGAGGAGCACCAGGAGGAGATGAGGTCCATTTTGGGAAAGAAAGTCCTATCTCATACAGAGTCAGCTGAGCCCAGGCCTCTCTCTCATGGACCAAAATTTTCAGGTAGAGATGCAGGATGAGAAGCCGGCAAATTCCTGTCAGAGGAACTTACATCATTAAAACTTTAGTCACAATTATTTAGTTGCAGCTGAAGACAATGGGATACATCTACAGAGGACTGAGGAGGCATGGGCCAGCTCTTCTGGCCTGCACGGAGCTAGAATGTGGGCCACTCTTGAGGATACAGTGGGGTGAGACACGCTGCACTTTGGGACAGCCTCACCATCACCAAATCTCCTTCCTTGTTTGTTCTACCCGAGTCTCTCCCAGGGTTACCAAAAAGACCAAAATGCAAAGGAGATGAGGGAAGGTTCAGAGGTGCAGCGATGCTCAGACATGGGGGATCCTTTTGGGAGGGGACCATCCTCCTTCCCTGCTTCCTGTTCATGGTAGGAGCTCCTAAGAGGACCCTCCCTTTCTTTCCTGGTTTTCACTGCTTCCAAAGTCCCGGGACGCTGCTGAGAGAAAGGACAGCATTGATTACTGGGGGGGGGAAGAGACTGGAATATGACTGGCCTCGTGAGTCATCCTGGAAGTCCATGATCTCTGTTTCCAAGGAAAAACCACCTACTTCCCTGTTGGCTAGGAACTCCAACTTCAACTAAAGGGCAGCAGCCTCTAGTATTTTATATTTTAAGTCTTATTCCCGGTAGTGGCCTCAGAGCCCAGATCCTTATAGTGCTTCTACCTAGCAGAAGCTCTCGATTTGTGTGGTGGTGGCACACACAACAGGAAGAGCTATGTTAGCAAAGCACCCGCTTTGGTTTATGGGACCACGTGCAGAGTTGGGGGGGTTTTTGAAAATCAATGGGGATTAAGGGGTACAGAAAGTCCGTGATGCTTGCATAACCATTTTATCTTGGGCATTGAAGGTGAAGACGTGATGATAATGGTTAGGGAACAAGATTGGAAATAGGCGATGAGCATTAAGTTGGGAGTTGTCAACCCAGGATGGAACGCAGTCTCCACTGACAAATACTTATTTGCTCATCTTAACATAAAATGGATGATTTTTAAGAAAAGAGCTTTAGAAAGGAGAGGTTCGTTAAGACCCCTTTCTTATCCAGTCCCAGTCCTCTAATATGTTAGGAAACATGCACTTAAGTGTAGCTTAAAAGGGACCAAAGTACTAAGTAACCTCATTGAGTTTCCCTGTGCACTTGTGTTACTTATTTGAATTTCAAAGACCAAGGAGCAAACACAAATGCTTGGCCATCTCCTTCTGGAGGATTCTTATCTTATACGATGTCCAGGAAGGACAGCAGGGCTTGGGCAGTGTGAGGGGGGAACAAACACTCTCTAAGGGTTTAATACTTCCACTGCCACATGCATTATGTATGTTATCTTGCTCATGCAAATCATATTAAGACATGATTAAATGACTCAGAGATACAGAAAGAGTAAGTATCATGCTATTAGCTTGAGAGGGCTTCTCTGCAATGGATACTCGGTACACATCTGGTTATTAAATACATAGATGTCAGAGACAGGGGTTAAACTGAGGTTTAATTCAGCTCCCAAGTATATGCTGTTTCCACTCTGCTTCTCAAACCCAACATACAGAAGGTAGCAACTGGGTTTCCCTAGATGCTGTACTTCTCTGGTAAGCTTTGTCCATAGGACACCCAGGAGACCCCTGAGACCATACACCAAATAACCAGGGGGGACTTGTTGCACCCCTCTGCGGACCTGGCACTCTGCAAGGTGCTTGGCTGATTCAAACCAAAGCAAACTTAAAAAGCAGCAGCAGCTGTGGTTGGAAGGAATAGATACCCACTCCAACTAGCCCTCAAACATATGAGGCGGGTGGGACAGGGGGAAGGCAGCGCGTTATAATGCTAGATTTAACACTGAAGCCGGAAGAGCAAGAACCAGGGAAGTCCTAGGACTTTGAAGGACTGCTAGGACCTTCATTAGTTTGTCCTTCACTCCCCTACGGACTCATTTCACCCCTCCCTGTCACCTATGGGTGAGATTTTTATGCAGACTACAGAGTGCATAGGAATCATCCTGCACACAGAATGGTGACATTGGGGAACATGTGTCTAGTGGTGCACAAAGGAGATCCAAGGGCTGTATGTGCACAAATGTGAAGAGAATTTGCAAGTATTCAACTTTATATGTATTTTTTTTTTCCTTCTGAAAATCGTCCTACCCAACAAAAGTGCTTGTTGAAGGTTGTGCAGGTTCTTCTCTCCCCTCCCCTTTGCTGTTCTGCTGCTGACCTGTGCCATGTGCTTAGGCCTGGGATGTCTGCATCTAAACCAACATGTGTTTTTTGTTCCTTTTTATTCCCTGAACAATGCAACTATTTATGTAGCACTTGTATAATTATAAGTAATGTAGAGATGATTTGTACTCTGTATAGAGGTAGATGTGTCTAGGTTATATGAAAATACTGTATCTTATATAAAAGAACTTGAGCACCCATAGATTTCGCTATCCATGGGGTCTCAGAATGAATGCTCCTTAGGGGCTGAAAGAGGACTGTAAGGATCACTGTAAAGATCACATGCAAAGATTAAACAATTTGGAGGTCTAGGCCTCATCCAAGAGCTGTTTCAGAATTACTGGATCTGTCCTTCTGTGACATCACCCCAGGTGGCTTCTTCTTAAGCCAACAAGAATACAGCTTGCACAGTGACCTTTGGGAAACAGCCTCTAAATGATACCCATTCAACAGATTGGAGTTCATCTCTGCCACTTCTACCGTGTGCCTTTAGGTAAGCGCCTTATCCTGCCTAACTTCATTTTCATTTTTGTGAACGGGAATAACTGTTGTCCCTACTTGATATGGGATTAAATAAAACATTTCCCTTGTACAGCTCAGCATCTGGCCCTGAAGTACTCAAAACTTTAATTTGTTACTAGTTACACAGTATTAGCATTTTGTCATCTATGTAACTGGTATCTGTAAACAGTCTCTTGGCTCTGGTGGTGGGAACAGAATCTGACTGCCAGCCAACTGGTAACGAAAATACATGAAAGAAAGGAAAAAAAATTCAAAGTTTATTAAACAATAAGAACAACAGACAGATAAAGATTTGAACTTAACAGTATAAATACCACCATTACTACGGTGTACAAATTACACTAACCTGTTTTACCTTGTACCTGTTTAACAGATGCGATCTTTGTGGTGTTGCCAAAAGGATGATGGGTTGTTTGGTAAGGTGCTCAAAATTTAATATTTTACATCTTCAAACTTCATACACACACGCACACATGCACACACGCTCCCCTGTATATACTTCATCTCCTGAAAAAAGCATTCAAGTAAATTGCTAAGTCCAGTTCCTCAAGACCTATGATAAAGTTCTGTTCATTGTTTAATTATACTACCTCTAGCAAACACCTGAAGAACAGGCCTCATCCGTGAGGGGACCCTTCAGCAGGAAGTGGACACACCTCACGTCAGTCACCTGCAAGGGCCCAAACCCAGTGTTCAACCCAGGGCTCCAGGGCCACACACTCAAGGAGGCCAATGCTTTGAGATCTGACTAAGTATGATGAAGTGTGTTTTTCTGAAAAGAAAAAAAGTTAGACGAACTACTAGAAAAACCCAAGGCTAACTTTCCATTTTATAGAAAGTCTGTGGTTTCATCCCTGGGGAGCAGAAAAGTGACCTTTAAAACTGTCCTTGATGCTTCTGAAAACACACAATAGACCTTCTGAGTGAACACTGAGAACCACTGTGAGTTCCCACACAAAATCAGTGCATTACAAGCAACTGCTGGGAAATCTTGCATGGCTTCTGTAAGTGCCAGGATCCCATCAGAACTCCCTTCAAACAAAACAGTCCTTCTGCTTTGAGGGCAGATTCCATGGGGACCTGTGTGTTCAGAGACAATCTTGCTCAATGTGTTTCTGAATGATCCGAAGTAGCCATGTTCTCAAGAGGATGTGATTGTCTAGGGCCCCCCATCAGCCATTCCTCCCCTCAAGATAGCAGGAACAGAAAGAGGCTCATCATTTTTTGCCTTTGCAAGTTTATTTATTTATTTTTTTTATTACTTTTTTTTTTTTTTTTTTAAATCGGTACCGGGGATTGAACTCATGACCACCTGCTTGCAAGGCAGGTGCTTATGCCACTGAGCTAAATCCCCAGCCCCTAGCCTTTGCAAGTTTAATCAAAAGAAAAAATGATGTGACCTTCTCTGGAAGTCCTATAATGCTCAGACCAAACTGTCTAAATGATGTTGGCATGATAGGAAATGGATTCATTTTTAATGGCCAAGTAATTAATCTCTGAAAGATGCTTAGGAAAAAAGGGTGAAAATGACAATAAGATTTTCCTAATAGGTGCAGTCAGAGGGCACTCCCTGACCCCAGGACCCAAGTCACTTCCCACCCCAGTCCGCAGAACTGCCTTATTCCCTAATTGCCTCTGGCAGACAGCTAATCCAGGAGTGTGCATGCATGTTTGTGTGTGTGTGTGTGTATGTGTGTTCATGTGTGTATGTCTGAGTGTGTGTCTGTGTTTACAATGACCTATATATAAGGCACCTGTGCAGACTTCAAAGTGTTTTTTTTCTTTTAAAATGAGGTAGGTTTCTGAAACCTTTTCTGGCATGCAAAGTAACGTTTTATTATGATCTTTTTATTTCTTCTGCAGAAAATATTTGTGATGTTTATTTGATAGACGCAGCTTAATTCCACGAGAGATCAGTACTGAAATATGTTTGTTTTTCGGCTACCACTTGATATTCCATAAATCTGGATGGTCCCCATTATAACCTTTCAATGTTTCTCTGCTTAAAGGTATAATTTGTATTTGTTTAATGACTACCATTTAACAGTTCTGCAGTTAGGCTCTTCATCTGGGAAAAGGCCAAATCTAAGAGGATTGCCAAAGGTTTTGTTACTTTTATTATCTGTTTACCTGCGCAATGTATTTCCAATATTCTATCATCTTGTGCCATTATCTGTATCTTTTGACAAAGTGGGTAGCTAGCAGGAATATCTCACTAGTTGCCTTTCCCCAAACCATGACACTGGAGAGAAGCATTGCTCATGGATTAGCAAGGAGACCACCAAATCATTAAAGAATTCATATACCTGGGAGGCAGGAAACTAGAAAACTCCCATTGAGGAAAGGGGATTTTAATCTAGCACAAAATGCTTCTTGGCAGGAACAGCAGAATTTCGTGACATTATACAACTTAGTGAAACAAAAGAACATTCACCTTTAAAGTCGAAACATCTATCAAATTATAAGCCATACACATAGCACCGATGTCAGCCTTGTGCTGCGTAAGACAGATGCATGTGCCCAAAAAGAAGAACAGAATCCTTTGGGGCACTGGCAGCCACACTCCATCCCAGAAACTCAGAAATCTGAAGTGAACATTTTCGTGGCAGATGCTTTTTCTAAAAAACACTGTATCATCCAATAAATATTTGACTAAAATCCATTTTGTGCTTTTGGGTGATGTTAACTGACTTCTTTCTGAGACCTGATAAGAAATAAGAAAGCGTCGGAACAGGATTCGTTGCAAGCCTCGATACTGTCATAAAATTTTAATTTAAAGCAGAAAACATGCTGATGTGTCAGTAATAGCCTTAAAATATTAAAGACTTCAAAAACCCCCAAGCACTTCTTCTCTATACAACATTGGTGAATATATATCTTTGCTATATAATTTTAAAACATGGAATAGTTTTTCCTTTTTCTCTTTTCTATATATAATATATGTCTTCCAAAATACATTGTCAGTATTTATATCTGAAAAATACTGTACAAAAAGAACTTCCTATAATTATTCTGTATAAACATTAAACAATTTAACAATCTCTCCTTTTGGTCTGTAGTAAACATTTAAATTGATTGGATGAACCAGTCTTGTGACAACACCATACCTTCTGAGATACACCAGTGTCTTTTACATTCATTTTTTCAGAAGTCCACTTTATAAGAGCACAAACGTTTAAAAGCAAATAGAGAATAAGAAACATAAGCTCCAGAATCATTAATTTATGAGGCATTCAAAAATAACACCACGAGGAAGGAGGGTCATAGAAAACATCAACTGAAGAACTTAACCGATCTTTTAAAAACAGCCAAGTATAATTCACAGAAATATATGTATTACCAAAAAATGGGGAAAATGAATCTTAAGTCATTTTTGGATATTAAGAGGAATATGGAAAAAAGATTACTACAAAATGAGAATAGGGTCAGTGTGGCTGGAGGAGACAACAAAACCAAACTTATCAAAGGCTACTCGAAGACACTCTTTTTTTTTTTTGGCTCATGTACTAATAAATTAATCCCTCAGTCTTACACCTCTCGTTGCCCTCTCTTTCCCTGTCCTGGGGATATTCTGATCATGCTGAAATGCATTACTTTAATTTTTGCGTTTTAAAAGACAGTGAGATCCTTAGGTAGGGAAAATATCCTACGTCCACTAGTAATACTCAGGCAGCATGCTCTAGCGTACAATAGGATTATTGCTTTAGGTACAGACAGTGCAAAAACACACTCTGTTCTATAAGAGTACTCGTACTTATCTGGGTTGGTGGAATTAAAAGGAAACTTAGTAAGTAGCAGTAAGTAAATATGGGATCCAATAAATCTAAACAGCACTTTAAATTTGAAGACGATTATCACCAAAATTCAAAGGAGGAGAAAAGCAACCTATAAACGAAGAGACCTGCAGTGTAGTGCTAAGTTAGTCTGTGCACCTCATGGCACGGCAACTTACGGAGGAGACAAAAACAAGAGCTTGCACTCTCAAAGACTGAGATCCACCATTTTCCCAGGGCCCTTCCTAGTGACGCCCAGCAGCTCTCAGGAGAGCAGGTGAGCTGGAAAACAGAAGGGCAGGGCTGGAGCAGGGAGGGGGTGGAAAACCCATGGCGGGGTGCTCCAGGGTCTAGTAAAAACATGGCACCTTTCTTTTGGGAGACTAAAAGACGATGAGAGGTTTATCGCAAAATGGCAAGTGCAAAGGGACACACACACACACACACACACACACACACACACACACACGCCCGAACACAGCTGACCACAGGAGCACAAGCACAAGCACACGAATACGCACACACGCACACATCCACACGCGTACACATCCACACACGGATGCACACCGAAATGGGAGTCAGTTGTGTTTATGCCTCTGGTAAAGTGCGGATGTCAGAAAGGTCGGTCTGGGTGTGGTGCTATCAGACAGGACACAAGCTGTCCATCTACCCCAAGGCCAGCCCACAGGGACACCAGCCTACAGGGGCCCGTGCCTGGCCTCGTACTTGGCGAGTATGTTCTTGCATTTGCCCAACTCCTTCCGCAGGTCAGCCACCTCCTGGCGGAGGGCTGAGTTCTCCTTCTCCAGGAACGAGGCCCTGATGGCAATCTGGTTCTCCTTCAGCCTCCGGGCATCGCGGGAGCGCTTGGCTGCCATGTTGTTCTTTCTGCGCCTCGCCCAGTATTTGTCATCCTGCTCGGAGTCACAGAAGGGTAAAGAAAATGAGGCATTAGATTTTGGCAGCACAGGGTCACCTGGGTCCCCACAGCCTGGAAGGCCACACTAAGATGCCAGCCCCGGTTCAGCCCTTGTGTCTCCTTCATTAGCTTCTGCCTGTCTGAGCAAATAGTCCATGAGCTATGGCTTCCTCCCTGCAGCAGGGACCAACCTGTCCCGACAGGCCCCTTGCTCTGCCCAGCAGAGCTGGTTCCTATCGAGGTGGAGATCAGAGCCTGGAGGGAAGCAAGCCGTTCACCTCATACCCAGAAGCACGCTCCAACCTTCACACTTGGCTGAAAATTTTGGAGCCCTTTTTTCTCCCATTGGTACTTATCTGCTCTTCTACTGTAAGTTGGTACAGTATTTTTAGAAGGCAATTTACCAACTCGACTGTTTTAATATGTATCATATTGATCTAGGCTAGGAACTCTCCTGCTAGGGTTGCAGCCTATAGCACCTTCCTGCCAGTACACAGACACAAGCACAACATTTTTACTGTAGCACTCTTTGTAAATGAAAAATACGGTAGAAAAGCTAATGATCTATGCTTACCAGTTTGATACTCACAAAGGGATACTCTGCAGCTATTCAAAGTAATGACCCTAAAGGGCCATAAAGATAGTTCATAACATCACAACGTGAGTAGAAACAATGGCACTCCGTTGGTAAATATTTGGTTTTGTTCCAGTTTGATTAAAAAATTATAATATATTCATAGAAAGAGCCTCACAAAGATTTATACCAGTTACAGTGAAGCTTTCAGCGTTTTCAATGGTAACAAACATCTGACCGCAGTGTGTGTGCGCCATAGGTTTGCCACTTCTGACTTACACCAAGCTATAAAAGTGATGCCTCTGCAGAGCAGACCAAGAGAGGCAGAGGAAAGAAATAAGATAAATACAGTCCAAACCACAAGAATATTATATAATGGGGTATACCTGCTGATTGTTGAAAACGAAAATTAAAAATCCCTCCAATCTGCCACTAGTCAGAATACCATATTGGTGACTAGCATTTAAATAATTTACGCTACTTTCTTGCTGAACTATTCTCTGGGTTTCAGTTGCCCTGGGTAATTGTTAACATGAAAGCAATTCTTCCTTTCCCCCACTCGCTGCCCCACCCCACCAAAAGAGAGGAAAGCTTCCTCACTAAGAAATGAGTCTTCTTTCAGATCTTCCCAATTCATTGCTGGTGTTACCTGATAAAGCTTGCAACTTCCTTTCCTCAGTAACTTTTAACTGCATAGCCCTCCATGGTAGCAAAGCTAATAGCTGTGCAGTCACCTGCCACCCAGAACAAGCGTGTAAGGCCAGTCCTCACCTGCCCCAGCATTCCAAGGGAAGGTGTGGGCATTGGAGGAGGTCATGTGGGGTGGGGTCAAAGCTGCAGGAAAAATTCAAGATGAGTGTTCAGCCCCTGGATCCGCTAATTATCCTCAGTAGACATCTGTCCTACATAAAGACAGAGTGTACCTCCCATGTGCTGGTCACAAGTTGGTTCTGTCATTTTGTTTCTAAAATACCCCTAGCTTTTTAGTTTTTCATACATGAAAGAGTGTAAAAAATGATCTTCCTAACACTTGGTACCAGAGTTCCTCTTTAGGGAGGAGGTTGCCCCTTAAAGAATACCTGAATGAGAAGGCCTGGACAGAGGGAGTTGGGGAGTTGGAGGGAGAGGCAGGAGTGCTGGGAGGAATAGCAATGGTATCTCTGGGAGGACAGCCAATGACATCACAGGGACAAGGGGCCCAAAGGCAGAGCCAGGACTGTAAAGCACCAGTTCTGATGGAGGCTGTTTGTGTCACTTGGATATAAGCCCCATTCCGTGCCCTGCATAGCACTGGTAAATCCAGCACACTCATCAATGAGCCTAGAAGCGTGGTTTCCAAGAGTAACCCCAAAAGAGACTAACTCAGGATATATCAGCAGCTGCACACAGAGGAACAGGATGCCAGGTGGCCAGAGAGTACATGCGCATGAGCCCCAGTAAGCTGTATGGCAGTGAGGGATGGAGACAGATTGCCATAGGCCATGGGTCTGGTGGCCAGTGACTGTACGGACCAGATCTAAAGGACCAAGGACTCTCCTGCTGATCTCAAGGTAACAGCCAAAGGCTGTATGTTACTTACAGCTCTTCTTACTTCTAAAGCACTTTCATTTCCCAGCCTCACCGACCCGTGCCTGGAGCTGAGCTAACAAAAGTGTTAGGAGGAGGGGACAGGGGAGGATGGGGCAGAGATGGAACAAAGGACACAGAGACAGAAATGAGGATGGAAGAAGGAGTGTCCTGCCTAGAAAAACCAGCTTGTCTTGTCTGTCATTACAGAATAGTTGGGGACAGGGAGGAACAGGGTCTTGAGTGGAACTGATAAATCGAGTACGACATCTCCGGTCTCTTTCCTCCTCCCAGGTGCTAATGTCATCTGAGGACCCAGTTACTCTCATCCAACCAGAACCCACTCGGCCATACCCCATTCTGATGTCAATACTCTTTGTTTTCTGGCCACAAGGCCAGGAACAACTTAATTCTTGATGTGGGGCTTGGCATATTTTAGCATTTGAAAATGATCTGTCTGATGAATTCTTAAAAGTATTAAAAAAGGCAGATCACAAAACAGGTTTTCAGTTAAGAACCCCAGTGTGTTCTCCCTTAATACTTCCAGGGAATGTTTGCTATCATTTTTGGTGGATCCATCATTTGGTCCATCATTTTTGGTGGATACCACTCTCAGCCACCCCAGTTCAGTTTTCTCTGCTTCCGTGACAGCTCTTTCTGTTCCTGCTTCCCACAAGCTCATGGTCTGTGACTTGGAAAAGCAAAACTCAAGGGCACAGGAAAGTACCCCTGTCCATTCCCCACCCACCATGTGCAAAGGCCATGGCAGCAGTAATACGCATAATTCCAGCACAGATGGCTTCTCACCACCTTTGTTGCCAAGATTACCTGCATTATTAAGTAATCTTGCTCTTTGTTCTGAACATGTAAATTTGGAGACTCTGAAAATCTGGCTGGAAGTTTTATCTTCTACTTGGCAGCGTTCTTTCAAACTAGCCTCCAACCAAGAGGAAATCCAGGCTGAACAGGCTCCCTAGTTTAGGTTAAGAGATGAGACTCTGAAATGCACACAGAATTGGATCACTAAGAATGTAAAATCATGATAGGCACTCATTTGAAAGAAGGCATCTCCAATGATCCCTAGACCTAATTCCACAACTCCCTGGTCTTAGCCTGTGGAGTGCAGCCATCCACGAACCAGGAGATCAGATTTTTTGATCTTTACCATACACAATCCTTTTTTTTTCAGAGTGATAGTTATTGAATTGTCACCAAGGATCCTGGCATAAACCTTGTCAGTGAGTTTTTTGAGGTAGTGAGTTTTCTGAGATGGAGTTGACCTGTGCTTCCCTTCTGCCTTTTTCTCTACCATAAAGGGACACCACTAAGGTTCTCTAAAGTTCTCGTCAGCCCTAAAATTTTCCTATTTTGCATTATTGGAGGTATTCTCAGACATGTGGGTGCAGCAGTGATTTAGATCTGTCAAGTACTTCTGCCTCTGGTGTTAGTTTTATTTCATTTTCTTCCTCTGTTCTTTCCAAACACGAAAAGCAACAGAAACTGGTCTAAATCAGTTCAGTCTCCCAAACTCCCACTTTCCCAATGTTGGAGTCTGTGAACCATATTTAGGATTGAAGTAGAGGTCAGACCTTAGAAAAGGCTAATTATGTCTTGTTCCAGTGCCTTCAAAAGGCATAATCATATTTCCATTGTCTTTGTGTGTGAAAAGAAATATAAATACAGAAACTATGAAATGGCTAATCAACAATGGTTCTGCTGTTATTAGTGGATACAGCATCATTTTGGAAAGAATTCTGACCCCGAAATATCATAAAATGTGTCAGGATTAATTTTGTTTTAAGCTATATTGGTTTTCCTAAAGTAAATCCATTTCCCTTTATGACTAATGTGTTCCTTTCCACATAGTAGTTTCCAACCCAAAATTAACCTTTTGTTGAGCTACTCACCTGACCACTACCTGTGACACAAACTGAACATGACACATAATGTGGCAGGAGTCCACCAGCTTCACCCTCAATATCTTACCTGGTCTCTCTGGTTGCCCACGGGGCACAAAGTCCTAGTCCTGGCTGTTATTCCCCGAGGTCTTCCCAAAAGGAAGGGAATCCTGAGGACTGTAAGACCCAGAAGTCCTTCCTAAACAATCTCCTTCTATTTCTATCCTTGAAAGATTTTGGTTGGATATATGGGTCATATTTTGCTTCTTTCATGGGCTTACTAACCCTCTTACATTGTATTGCTTTTCCTTATCTCTGTTTAGAACCAATGATGAAAATGTTTTTTCAGCAGATTCCCAGAAAGGAACGTAACACGCCAGGAAGTCCTTCATGGCTTAGCTCATAAGAAGTGATCAAACTATACTGTGAATGTTTATGTTTTAAAAATTTATTACAGTGAAAGACACATTGCCGTTAACCCCCCTCAGAATCCCCTCCCCGGTTTGAGCATACTTGTCCTAAGCTCTCGCCACTTTTAGGAGCAGTTCTGAAAGTTCTCTTTTGTCTCTTCACAATGTGTGATCAAAAATGGTGAGTGCCTGGCCATCAGCTCGAAGGGTGGGCTTGGTAAACATTACGCTGTGTCCCCACTCATATTATTTACAGATCTGGTGCTGCACGACTTACAACTCTTCCTCAAGGTCAAAATAGCCATGAAAGGAAAACATTGTGAATAGATCCAGGACATCAAGGCAGCTACAACAGTGTAACTAAAGACTCACACAAAAGGACTCCCAGGACTGCTTAGAAACTGGCAAGAACAATACAGTAAGTGTGTTTGAAGCAAGCATTTGCAGGGGAAGGGTGGGTAATGGCAATGTGTTTTTTTTTTATTTTTATTGTAATCAATTTGCTAAACATGTAAATATCCACTGTATCTTTCAATCACATCTTGTACATAATCTTCCTGGGCTCACCTCTAACTTTCCTCTTAGTCCCACCCACTGTTCATTTGCCCAAAGCCTGATTACCAGTTCCAATTTACCTTCAGATCATCAGGAATGAAGACTTTGCGAGCTTTCTTAATCATAGGCTGTGGCTTCAGTTCTTCCTCGGAGAACTTGCGTTTGCGAGGGTCAAACATTTCCTGGCCTGGGATGCTGGACAGGGCAAGGTCTGCTGGATCTGGCTCATAACCCACCGGGACCTGGATGGTGTCAGGATCAATGGGACTTGGTGTATTGCGGTTTGCTGGCAACAGCTGACCTGGAACAGCATAGGAGTTTTAACTCAAGCACACCGTAAGCAGATGCAGGAGACATGCTCTTAATGGTGCTCCATTAAGAGGAGTGGCAAAAGTCTTTAACTTATATATGACCCTATCAGCATTTGTTACCAAGTTTCTGAGAACACAGATGGCTACCTATGACTTTCCTTGTCTCAAATTAGGCAAAACAGTGACCCACACACACGTTTGAAAATACGAATTCGTTCTTTCCTATGACACACTCAAGAAGCAGCAACTGCATGTCAGGTATGGTGCAAGATGCAATCCGCAGAACCACCTGGCTTTGATCTTCTACATATTTCCCAGGTAAGCTGTGAAAACCGACCAATAATGAGGGTAAAATGCAGATACCTGGATGGATGCAAGTCTGGAGAGAAGCATACTTAGGATGCTTGCCACAGCTGTGCCTGGACACAGATACATTACCAAAGAAGATATTCCAGGCACTAAGACAAGAGACAGGTTTGCTTTTTTAAAAGAACCACACATCACCTTCGGTAGCTGGAATGCTGATTCAGAAGACAAGATGGAACAGGGAAAAGCAGAAGGGCAGATGTGGCCACCAACAAGACAGTGGTGAGGCCCTGAATGACACTGGTAGATTCCAAGCAGTAGAGCAACACACAGCTGAAGCTTGGAAAAAGACGGAAGAAATGCCAGTGGGTGGATGGAAGTGGGCTTGGTTGGAGACAGACCAGATCCAGGCTGTTGTGATAAACCATGAACACATTCACTGTGGCCGTGGAGGTGGGGAAGACGGAAGCTAAAAGAACATCTCACAGATTACACATGGACGTAATGGAGAGACACCTGTACTTTCACTTTAGGATTCAAAGGACCAAAGAACCAGAAATGCACAAACATCCATGGAACAATGGTGTACAGTGTTTCTGAATACAACCTACTGATGAAAGCAAACTTAACAGACCGAAATGTTTATGCTGGGAGCTCTGAGTCTTCATTTCCTAGTCTCATCTGAGTTTTACAATCAATCCTTTCACACCCAGAGAAGAAATGAGAGGGTTCAGCTTGGCGATATCTGGCCCATCTCCTCTTTGTCCTCGCTGCCCGTGGCAGGTCAATATGTGGAGTCCTTTGGTTTCATTAAAACCTGCCCTCAGGTTAAAGCACCAAGCCATTGGCTTGGATTGCAGCAAAACTGTCAAACTGTGCTTGTCTGTTTTCTGGAAAGGCTTGGTGGGAAGCTTACAAAAACGAATGCTCCAGGTGACCTCTTGGGTCCCTCTCTACTTTGAGCTCTTTGTATCTGGCTTGCCAAAGAGGAAGAGATGAGCCCTGAGGCGCTGGCTGAGGATGAGGATTTCTCATTAGCCAAGCTCCCGCTTCTAGAGATCCCTGAGCTCTGTCCTGAGCGGGGTCAAGCTGGATTTGATCTTATGCCTCTTGACGTCGCCTCAGAAAACAAACCATATCCCAGTCATGTATGTATTTTATTTCCTTTTTGAAAACTCTTTATATTTAATAGCAAAACAATTCAATATCCTATCAGTACAGACCTTGAGACCGCCCTATGCGCACGAGCTTCTCTCATCTTCTCAAAACACTTTAAAGCCAACTGTCCTAAGCTACTTCAAGTTCCTCCTTAATACTGCAGTAATCTATTATGCTGCATTAAACGTCTACACACATACACACACACACACGCACACACACAGCCCTCTATCAACGCACATAGTCTTTCATGTTTTGTCAGTTTTCTTCCCACCCAATCCCCTGCCATGGTACTACTTCAATGCCCTACTTATCCAAAGAGCACTCTGTATTTCCCGATAGCTCTGGGTGGTTCTGGGCTCTGACATTCATTCGTGGTCATTCTAACAATCACATTTTCCACTCAGGCAGAGCGTTTGTCTGCATTCTTTTTCTCTAGTCCTTTCCTCCAAGGGAAGTAGGTCAGCTCTACCTGCAGAAGGGAGAAAACCTAGCTGGAACCCAGCCCAGGTAAATGGCCTCCCAGTGTCCAACAGCAAATGGCCAAGTACTAAAGACAAAGCCAGGTCCCCCTGCTGCCCAGAAACTCTCCTATCATCTAATTTATCCTTATTTGCCACCAAATTAACTCTGCTGGACTCATTTTTTCCTTCATTCCAAAATGTCACCAGTGCCACTGGATCATGGGGAGAAGGGCTTTTCTTTGTTTTTCCTATATTTCATGGATCTAAAAAATTTTAATTGAAGAGTTGTCAATTGAAAAATGTAGCATTACATTAATTTAAAGTTATAAAAATGCAAATTTCAGCAAATGTAGCAAAGCATCAAAACAATGAGAGTTCACAGTTTGTTCATTTGTAAGAATCCTTTAGAGATCATGGATATAATCTTATCTGTCTTACCTATAACAAATATTTTCTCCCATACTAGTCTATGTTTTAACTTTGCTTACAGGCTTTTGCTGCTTTTTATCCCCAAATCACCACTTCCTACTTCTCCTCCCAAAGTTGAGTTTGGTGAGAGCTTCTCATGCCAGAGATTTTGCACATAAATGATTTAACTACATACCTTAGATTATTTTTTCAATATAGCAACATACAATGTGCAATTTTCCACATTAGTACAAAGAGCTACTTTTTTAAATGATGAGTAATATTGTACAATGTAGATATAATAATTTGTAATCATTCCCCAACAGGCCAATATTTTATGTATACATTTTTGTAGACGAGATTCCAGGAAGGGAGAATGCTCACACAAAAGGCACGTAAATTTTTGACATTTCTAAATGTACTGCCACATTGTGCTCCAAAATGTCCTATTTATTCATACCTGTACCCACATATATGGTAACACACAGTTCCTCAGCACTAAGTCTCAAAATGCTGCCAATATGACAAGTACCAATCACTATTAATTTGCCTTTCTCTGGCTTTTGGTGATACCATCTCACCTGTTTACTGGGTATTTATTCAATGTGTACAAAACCATCATATGTTTTTCCCTTTTAAATGCAGGGTTTGTTCACCTGTAAGAATCCATTATAGACCAGGAATATAACCTTACCTCTTTTACCTATAACAAATATTTTCTCTCATAGTATTCTATGTTCTAACTTTGTTTATAGGGTTTTTCACTACTGAGATGTTTTATACTGCAATGTAATTATACACTGAAAATTTCATTTTTATGGCATCTAATTCATACTTTATCCTCGAATCATATTGTGTATATGCATACATAAATGCACACCAACACACAGTTTTATATATATATATATATATATATATATATATACATATATATATGTATATCTATACATAACTACATACAACTGTAAATGGTTTATATCAATGAAGGTGAACCTTTTAGAGCTTTCAATGGTAACAAATAGTGGGCTATGGCATGCGTGACACAGGTTCACCACCACTGGTTTATATTTCTAGAGTTACCTGGCATTTTCTTTTGTATATAGCATAAGCAAGGAGCATTGCCTAAGGTTATTAAAACTTTTTACTGTAATATTAGTAAGGCTTTATATTTGGCAAGGCAAGTTTTGTCTTCCTAATTGTTCTTTTCAGAAAATGTCTTCGGAGATACCATAATACTCATTCTTTTAGAGGAATTTCAGAATATATTTCCTCTTATAGAGAGTTTTAAGGTAGCATGAAAACCATTGGTATTTTGAGGGTAACTAAAAAAGTCAATGTACCCATGGTGTGCTATTTTTATTTTCGGGGCCTTTTCCTCACATTTATCAGTTCAGTTTTATAGTTCTCTTCATTTTAACCATTTATCTTTTTGCTATGTTTACTGACCTTAACTATTTGATAATAGTTGTTCATATCATAGAGTTCATTATTTCCCAGTTGGTTATTCCTAGCTTATAGGAAGCCACTGGTTTTAAAATGCGGGTCTTATATCCAGCCACTTTATTCTCTTTTAGTTCTGGTAGTCCCAACAGTTTTAACTTCTTAAGATTATAGGTGAATAATCTTATCACCTGCCTCTAGGGACAGCTGTGGCTTCTTTTGAATGCTTATAACTCCTACTTTGTTTTTGTAAAAGTATTCAATCTCACTGAATTAAATTGGCTCTGGAAGACACTAAAAAGTAAGGGAACTAGTGATCCCTGTCCCAGACTTCAACAGAAAATGCATTTAAGGCTTCATACCTGAAGCTTTGTTCTAGAATCCTCATAGTTACCATCTGACAGTTTGACAAGTTAGGGCAATTCCAACCCTTCCAGCCCTACTATATTGACAGTTTCTTTAAACATGGTGGGGGGGGGTATTAAATCTTTCTCAACTGCTTTTTTGGGCCACTTTAAAAGACAATCATGTGGTTTTCTCCTGTATTTGTTAAGCACAAGCATGCTGTTACTCTACATTTTAAGAGATCCAGAGTAGATCAGATAAATCCCATTATGTAGATTCAGCAGTCCTTAGGACATTATTTTTTTCTCCTAATGACATCTTAATGATAGTTACTTCCAGAATGGCCAAAGAGGATTTCTGGAGGAAAGGGTGGAACAAAGGTTTTAAAGAAATCTGGAAAGAAATTAGAAGTCACTTTTTGTTATGGTTTAGACCAAGATGTCCTCCAAAAGCCTCAGGCACTCATAGGCAGGGTAACTGGAAGGTGACTGGGTAATGGGGGACTATATCTGACTTGTTAGAAGGTAGGGTCCAGCAGGAAGAGGTGTGTCACTGGGGACACAGCCTGGAATGGTACATTTACTCCCAATTCTTCCTTTGTGTCCCAGATGCACGAGGTGGAGCAACTTCTCCTCCACCATGTGCCTCTACCATGGTGATTCTTCTTGGGAACTGCTGACCAAAACACTACCACCTCCTTTTAAGTGGTGGATGCCAGGGATTTTGTCCCAGTGATATGGAAAACAACGAAGACACCATCTCAGATAAGAGTTAGCTCCATTTTTGACATATGACTAAGCCTCTGAAGAGTATAGCTGAAAATAGGATGCCCCTTTGTTCTACATTCTTTAATAGGAATGTTCAATGAG